AGATTCCCCTGCGAATCTTTCGACGCCTCCCTTGAGCCGAAACCCTCCCTAATACAGGGGCCTGAGTAATTTCTCTTTAGGGTTTAGGATTTAGGGTTTAGGGTTTAGGGTTTAGGGTTTAGGGTTCAAAAGGCTCACACTTCAAATCCTGCACACTCTATTGCGTCTCCTAGAGCCTGAAGCCCTAAAAACACTGAGACATCAAATGCCGTACCTTACTAAACCTGAAAAAATAATAAATTCCTGCGCACCCTAGAGCCGAAAACACCAAAAGAACTCTGACACCTGGAGCCCAACAGTATGTAGACTAAGCCTTCACCTAAACCCTAAACCCTAAATCCTGAACCCGAAAACCCTCAACCTAATATAGGGGCCTTAAAAAGTAGAACGGGGTTTTGGGGCCCAAAATACTGTAAACATAATAAAGGAACCCCCCCAACAAAAAATGGTATAGATGATTATCTAGACCCCTATATTAATCCTACTTCTGGGGTGGTTTAGACAACTTGGAGGATCATGAAACTTAGTAAGTAAGGTTATCAGTACCCCTAATTGGGGTAATAAGTGAATATAAGTACAGGTGCCTTCATGATTATAACCCCAATTACTAAACCCTAAACCCTAAACTTTTCCTAAACCGTAAACCCTAAACCCTAAACCCTAAATCCGCAAACCAACACCGCCAGCTGCCCAAAGCTCTCTGAGCAGAAGAAGGTAAGTCCCATGATCCTTTAAGAACCCTCAGCTGCCGGGTACCCGCACTCCCGCACAGAGCTCAGCTCTAAGAGATGCTCCGCCAGGGGCTGATAGTGGGGCCTTACTTAAAGGATCATGGGACTTGGTGAGGGTTTAGGGTTTAGGGTTTAGGGTTTAGGGTTTAGTGTTTAGGGTTTAGAGTAGTTGGAGGATCATGGGACTTAGTAAGTAGGGTTATAAGTCCCTTAATTGGGGCTATAAGTATAGTTACCTTAGTTATAACCCTACTTACTAAGTCCCATGATCCTTTAACTACGTTTTGAAAGACGAAGTGAGCCATTTGGGTTTTAGGGTTTAGGGTATTAGGTTTAGGGATGGGTTTGGGGGTTTAGGGTTTAGGGTTTAAGTTTCCTCCGTTTAGGGCGCGGCTTACTTTGCCTCTTGGTGCTTCGCATTTCGTGCCTGCTTTGAGATATAAGTATGGAGCTTCAGATCTTAGAAGGTTTTACGCGGCGTAGGGTTGAGACCCTGGCAGATGGGCAATGCTGTCCCTCAGCATCAAAATAGCCCAAAAACCTTTTGGAACGGGGGCCTGTGGGCCCAAAAGCCTCAAACGGTTTAGGGTTTAGGGTTTAGGGTTTAGGGTTTAGGGTTTAGGGTTTAGGGTTTGTTTTCAAACCCTAAACCCTAAACCCTAAAGTCGGGGGTCAACTGGGCGGTTTGGACTGGTGGGCCTATCCGACACATGGCCATCCTTAATGGGTTAAACTGTTAAATCCTAATGTAGGGGTTTAGGGTTTAGGGAAAATTAGGGTTTAGGGTTTAGGGTTTAGGGTTTAGGGGGGCTTAATAAGTAGAATAGGGTTTGGGGGCCCATTATACTATACTTATAATAAGGAACCCTACGGAATAATATGGGTAATTATTTAGGCTTCTATATTAAACCCTCGTCAATCCCAAAATCCGACACACCTCAGAATCCAGCTACTACAAACATCGCAGACACCTTTATGTTTTTTCAGGCCCTAATCACTGGCTGGTTCATGTACGTTAGGGTTTGGGGTCCTCTTGGGGGGATTGAGAGCAGAAGGAATGGCGAATACCCGACCTACCGCCCTAATTACAAATAATCTGGGTTGTAGTTTTGGGGCCCTGAAAAGTATTTAAGAATAGGTACCTCTATAGAAACCATAAGGGCAATTTTAAAGTTTCCCAAATTGCCACCCAGAAATGCCCTGAACCCCACAACCCACAGTTCCAACACGCCACAACCGTGGAAGCCCCAGACCCCAGCAACAAACCCCAAACCACGAAGAATCCATCAAGACCCCATAGAATAAAACCCCCGGAGTGACCCTACCCTAAACCCTAAACCCTAAACCCTAAACCCTAAACCCTAAACCCTAAACCCTAAACCACAAGCCTCAAGTACAAAATTCTGATACCAGCCCTGAAAGGCTCTTACCTCGCACACCCCTTAAGACCAGGCCCGCACCAAAACCCTAAGCCCCAAATCCCGAAGGTTCAGGATCTAGGAGTTTGGGGTTTTAGGGTTTAG